TTTTTTTTCGGTCTTTTTGAGACAGGGTCTCCCTGTAGTTCCAGCTGACCTGAACTCACTATGTAGACCAGGCTGGCCTTGAACTCATAAGGATCTGCCTGCCTCTGCCTCCCAAGTACTGGGATTAAAGGCGTGCGCCACCATGCCTGGCTAAACTGGATAAGGAGAAATGTAAGCTAAGTGGTCATCTGGGCTCAGAAGCCATCAAGGCTGTGGGAGGACAGGGAGACCATCAGACTGACTTGGCTATAAGGTGCCAGGCTTAAGGTTGACGCACGTAGACTGGCAGGTCCTGGGCTAGTAGTGTTGTGTGGTGTTTGTGTATCCAGAGACTGGATGGGTGGGAGTTGTCCTTGCTTCCCTCTTTTAACTGGTGTGAGGACCCATTTAACTCTTCCTTCCTCCTCCTGCAGGGCGATGGCTGGGTGTACTTCAATCCTCTCTGGAAGACACACTGATGGGTGGAGGTGCAGAGCTGCCCTGACTAGCCCTGACTTTGTAGGAATTAAAGTGGTACAGTATCGTGATTCTGTTGGCATTCACTGAAACCTCTTGTCAATTTCTAAGAAATGGTCAGAGGGAGAGATTATATACTGTGAAACATGCACCCAAACTCTGCCTCAGGACTGGATTTATTCAGGAGCCACATGAGGCATTGTGCATACTGTGTTGCACGCGTGCTGTGCACACACTTGCCAGGTACTGCTACACATGTACATATGGCACTCACCAAGGCTGAACTGGGCAATCTCAAGCTCTTTTTTATTAATGAAGTTTTCTATTTTTCACTTTGCCGAGGTCATTTTGCACTTGTGAAGATCTTTTCACTCAGTCACCTCCTGTCACAAGGAAGACTGAGGTGGCTGACCAGTTGATTTCCCAGTAGGAGAAAGCAGCTCATTCCTGGCAGAAGGGAGGTGCCCCACTGTTTGATGATGCTCATGATGAACTCAGCCCAGGGCTGTCTGTTCACATCCAGGAAAGAGCAAGCAGGCTTTCCTACTGGATGAAGGGGCAGGAAGGGTCAGAGCCTTCAAGAAGGGAGTGGCTCTCGAGAAACCAGAACCAGACCCAGCAGAGGGGTTTGTCCCAGCGTCCTGACACTTTCTCATGCCCAAAGCACGAGGCGTTATGTTCTTCACAGCAGGAAACAAATCACACGGAGACTTCACTATTTTATCATAAAAGGGCTCCAGAAGTTCAGTACACGCATGCACACACTACATGGACCACCACCACCTCCAACTCATGTCTAGTTTGGGGAAAGAGAACAAATGTTCTGTGTTTTTTGTTTTGTCTTTTTGTTTTTTCTAATGTTTTATCCAAACTCTGTAAGAAAGCCGCTGAAATTAGAACGCACATAAGGCCTATGTAACAGTCCCACATTTTCAGGAATATCAGCCCTCAGCCTTTACACAGGAGGTCAAAGACATGGCTCAATCAAAAACAAGGAAAACTTGGATTTGATTTTTGCTCAGTGCTTATTTTATTTTTTACTGTGCCACTCCAATGATATTTATAGAACCCAGTAGCACGAATGCTTCTCCGTGGTGACACTAATAATTTCGTGCCTTTTGTCTGCTTTTCTTAAGACCAGTTGTTCACACTTTGTAGATATTAGACAAATATATTTCGATTAAATACTCTACCTGTCTGTGTGTGTGTGTTTTATTTCCAGAGACTTGAAAGTTCTGATACGTGACTCTGAATGAGCTCAAAACTTCTTGGTTAGATACTGCTAATTATCAACATTGAAGAAAAATCCTATTTTTACTAAAAGTGGTTTTTAAAAATTTCAAATTCTGTGGTGTGTGTGTGTGTGTGTGTGTGTGTGTGTGTGTGTGTGTATGAGTACAGTGCCCAAAGAGGCCAGAAGAGGGGGTCAGAGGGTCTCTTGGAGCTAGAGTTACAGGTAGTTGTGAGCTGACTAATGTAGGTGCTAGGAACAGATTTGGGCCCCCTGCAAGAACAGTATGCACTCTTAACTGCTGAGCCCTCTTTCCAGCTCCCTAAAACAGTGTTTTAAACACACTGAGAAAGTCCCCAGATCAGCATTACTTACGGGTACTTTCTGACAAGTTCACAAAAATAGTTCACTCATAATCAGCAAATGTTTTGGGAACAGAGGTACTATGGGGTGATAGACTGTTTAGTCTTAAAACATCTGGGTGAACAAAGTATTTAAAACCATTTTATTTTTATGAAAGGATGTGGAACAGATGCTATTTTTGAATGGAAAATAATCCTCAATGAGAAGCTTGAAAAGTCACCATAATGGTGTTTTTTGGGTCTTTCAGTGTTACTACAATGCATAGACCATCAGGGAAGTAAAACATGGAGAAGACTCACTTTTTAGTGGTGGGGGGTATTTTGGTGCATTTTTTAAAATCTGAAGTATTACATTGGGTTTATCTATAACACATAGTGCTCTGAGATTACACAGACATGAACTCATTCACTGCTTCAGAAATGAAGCCCACGTCTGTGGTACCAAAACTACCACCGTGCTCCTTCACACGTGTCTCCATCCTCTTCCTATTTTTGTTGTGCTTTCTGTATGTATTGTGTGTCTATTTATAAGCCACATGCTTGGTTTGGCCTGTTTGGGCACACTGTACAATTGGAATCATACCATATCATATGATGGTTCACTTGTTTAAGCCAGCATATTCTCTCCCCATCAATCCATAGTGTTACTTGTTCTAGCTGGTCATTTTGTTCATGTTTTAATTGTTTACAGTGGTAGAATATATATCACACAAATGTATCATACTGACTTTTAAATAACTTCTTAATTTAAAAAATATTTTATTTTGATTTTATGTGTATGAGTGTATTGCCTGCATGTATGTAAGTGTACATGTGTTGTGCAATACCCAGGGAGATCAGAAGAGGGTGTTGGTCCTGGAACTGAAGTCACAGATGGTTGTTAGCTGCCATGTGGGTACTGGGAACGGAACCCATGTCCTCAAGAGCAGCCAATGCTCTTAGCCACTGAGCCATCTCTCCAGTTCCTTTTAAAATATTTTAATGAAAGTTTTATTTATTTTGAGTTTGAGTGTTTTACCTGCATGTATTAAGTGCACCCATGTGTGCAATGTTCTCAGAGGCCAGAAAAGGGCATTGCATTTGCTGGAACTGGAGTTCTAGACAGTTACAGATGGTTGTTAGCCACCACGTGGGTGCTGGGAACTGAACCCAGGTCCTATGCAAGAGGAGCCAGTGCTCTTAACTGAGTCATCTCTCCAGCCCCATAATTAACTATTTTAAAAAATATTTTTAATTATGTGTTTTTGCCTGCGTGTAGTTAAATGCACCCGTGTCTTGCAGTGCCTGCAGAGGACAGAAGAGGGTGTCGGATCCCCTGGAACTGGACTTGCAGACTGTTGTTAATTCTCATGTGGGTGCTGGGAACCAAATGTGGTTCCTCTGCAGGAGCAGCTAGTGCTCTTAATTGCTCAGTCATCTCTCCAGCCCCCATATTAACTATTTTCAAATGTGTAGTTCAGTAGTATTAAAATATTCATATTCTTGTGCAACAACCACCCACCCTCATGTACCCTGGGACTTCTACATCTCGCCATCTAAAACTGTATCCATTAAAGAACAATTCTTCTCCTCAGTCCATCCTTAGCAACCATGTGTCTATGTTATCTCTGTGAACTGGACTACTCCAAAGACCTCATACCCACACGCTGGCTTGTTTCACTTAATGTGTTTAAGGTTCAGCCATGGTATAGCATTCTCAGAATTCATTTTTAAGGCTGAGTAACACAGTCAAATATATCCTTTATTGTGTACAGCAGCCATGTAGCCCTGTATAAGTTTCTGCTCTGATTCCAAGCTTTCTTTCAGTTCTTTCAGTTACATAGCAACAAAATTCCTGGCGCTTAGGGAATTCTGCATGTACTTTTTGGAGAGCTGGCTACGCCATTTTGCAACCTCCTTAGCAGAGCACAAGGGGTCCAGCATCACTACATCCTCACCTACTCAGATCCTAGGCCAACACTTCACCACTGGGCTACATCTTAAGCCCATGGATTGCCTTTTGAGTCCATTGACTGCTTTGATACACAAAAGCATTTGAATTTTATAAAATCTGTTCTTGTCACTTGTACTTTTTTCTTTTATCTCATAAAAAATGGAAATTTGTGCTGCTCACAATTCTGCAGGCTGGGAAGGTCATGGTCAAGGTCAAAGTGCAGCTGGCTGTTTTTGCTATTACCAGTACTTTAGAGTCCCTATCTAAGAAATCATTGCCAAATACAAGGTCATGAAGTCCCTGCTCTGTTGTAAGAATTTTGCAGTTTTAGTCTTACACTTAGGTCTTTGATCCAACTTTAATTTTTATGTAGTCTAAGAGTCCAACTTTGTTCCTTTGTTTATAGAAATCCTGTTTTCCTGACAGCGTTTATTGAAGAGACAGTCCATACTCCACTGAGTGACCGTGGTACCATTGTTGATAGCTTTTTGGCCACATTTGAGTTTATTTGTAGGCTCGCTGTCCCATTGACTGTGTCTATGCCAGTATCAGCGTTGTGTGATAAAATTAGGAAGTGGGAGACCTCTAGTGATTTTCTGCTTTTTCAGGATTGTAATGGCTATTCTGAGACCCCTGAGCTCCCATGTGAATTTTAGGATGGAATTCTCTAGTTTTATAAAACATAACATTGTGATTTTGATAGGGATTCTGATGAATTTGTGAATCATCTTGGATCATGTTGTAACCATGCAATGGGCATGGCTTTTCTGTTTTTTTTTAATCCTTAATTTCTCCTAGCAAGATTTATAGTTTTCAGTGTACAAGCCACCTATTCTTATTTTTGTTTGACATTAATCCATAGCAAATTTCATTTCCTTTTAATTCATTGTTGGCCTTATAAAAACATAACTAGTTTTTATCCTGCGACTGTGGAATTTAACTTTTTGTGTAGAATCTTATTTTTTGATAAGGTCTTGACTAGATAACATTTATTTCTTGGTCTTGTTTAATAGCTCTGGCTAGAACTTCTGCTAGTATGTTGATGGAGGTGGCAAAATCAGGCATCCTTATCTTATTCTTAACCTTATGGGTTTTGAGCCATAGACGTCAATCTCTTAAGGTAGTTTATTTTTTAAATCATGATATTCCTGCATGACTTCAGATGATCATTGGTTTACTTATTTACATGTGTCATGTTACATCGACTTTCATGTATTCAACGGCCTTGCATTCCAAGAATAAATCTCTGTTTATGTAATCAAGTGTACCGTGGACCCTTGGGAGGCAGAAGCAGGTGGATCTAGGGAGAACCTGCCCTCCCCCCACCCCCCAAAATCAAATATACTGTGGGATTTGCTTTACTAGTATTTAATAAAGTTTGAGCCAAAAGTTATATAGCATTCTGGCCTTTCGTTTCCTTTTTTGCTTTGATATTCATGTGGTGAATTAGGAATATCAGAAAAGACTGGTGTAATTCCTCTACATGTTTGGCAGGATTCACTGAGGAGGCCATTTGGTGCCGGGCTTTTGTTGTTGGTGGT